CTTGGGGTACCGGAGTCACATTTGTAAGAAAGGGAGATGGGACGTTGAGGTTATGTATTGATTGCAGAGGTTCAAACAGGGTCACGATCAAGAACAAGTATCCATTCTCCAGGATTGATAACCTCTTTGATCAGTTGTAGGGTGTCCAGATTTTCTTTAAGATAGACTTGCGTTTAGGTTACCATCAGGTAAAAATCAAGGCAAAATACATTCTCAAGACAACCTTTCGAACCGGGTACGGACACTATGAGTTCCTGGTCATGCCATTTGGACTAATCAACGCCCCAGCCATCTTTATGGACTTGATGAACAGAGTTTTCAGGCAATTCCTGGATCAGTCTATTATTGTGTTCATCGATGATATCTTGATCTATTCAAAGAGTAAAGAGGAGCACGCTTACCATCTGATTCAAGTTTTTCAGGTTCTCAGGGAGAAGAAGCTGTATGCAAAGTTGAGTAAGTGTGGGTTCTAGCTTGAGCATACTACCTTCATAGAACACATCATATCAAAGGATGGAGTGTTAGTGAATTCTGAAAAAGTTGAAGCAGTGCTCGGATGAGAAAACTTGACACCGGTTAAGGAGATCCGTAGCTTTCTGGAGATGGCAGGGTATTACCGCAGGTTTGTGAAAGAGTTTTCTAGTTCAGCTGTTCATTTGATTTGGCTCACAAAGAAGAATGTCAAGTTTGAGTGGGACGAGAACTGTGAGAGAAGTTTTTCAAAACTAAAGAAGCAGCTGACTACTGCACCTGTGTTAGCATTGCCGAGTGGATCGGATGGATATACAGTTTACAGTAATGCCTCCTACTTAGGGTTGAGTTGTGTTTTGATGCAGCATGAGAATGTCATAACCTATGGGTCCAGACAATTGAAGAGTCATGAGAAAAACTATCCCACCTATGACTTAGAGTTTGTTGCCATCATCTATGCCTTGAAGACTTGACGCCATTATTTATATGGGGAGACATTTCAGATCTATACCGATCACAAGAGTTTGAAACACTTATTCACTCAAAAGGATCTCAACATGCGTTAGAGAATGTAGATAGAACTTCTCAAGAACTATGATTGCGATATCTTGTATCACCCCGGTAAGAGCAACGTGGTAGCCGACGCACTCAGCAGGAAAAGTGCAGGTACATTAGCTCATTTGATGGTTTTAGAATGCAGGCAAATAGGGGCCGCACAACAGGTACGGTTTCAGGACCTGAAGAGAATCACATGTTTGAGTTACCTGACTGTTCAGCATGAGTTAATCCAAAGAATAAAGGAAGCTCAGCCCGCCGATCCCACCCTAACAGCCCTCAAGAAAGATGCAGAACAGGGAGTTAACTCAGAATTCCGAATATCTGCCGATGGGTTGCTCAGATTCTAGGACAGAGTGTGTGTTTAGGGTGACAGTGACTTAAAAAGGGACATCATGACAGAGACCCATAGTTCTAAGTTTGCCATGTATCCCGGAAGCACTAAGATGTACCAAAGTATGCGACCTCGATTTTGGTGGAACGGGATGAAAAAAGATATAGTTGACTTTGTTTCTAAGTGTTTAGTATGTCAGCAGGTCAAAGCAGATCACCAACGCTCAGGTGGGCTACTTCAGCCATTACCAATTCCGGAGTGGAAGTGAGAACATTTCACCATGGACTTCGTGACAGGATTACTTAAGGCACGCTCAGGACATGATACCATCTGGGTAATTGTTGACCGGCTTACTAAGTCCTCCAACTTCTTGGCCATCAGGATGACCGATCTCTTGGACAAGTTGACAAGAGTATATATCTGGAAAATAGTCAGATTACATGAAGTATTAGTGACAATAGTGTCCGACAGGGACCCCGTGTTCATTTCTCGGTTTTGGTCTAGCCTTCAGTAAATCATGGGGACGAAACTATCCCTTAGTACGACATTCCACTCTCAGACCGATGGGCAGTCGGAAAGAACAATTCGCACACTTGAAGATATGCTCCGAGCTTGTGTTCTTGACTTCGAGGGCCATTGGGATGACCATCTACTCCTGATAGAATTCGCCTACAACAATAGCTACCAAACAAGTATTGGCATGGCTCCGTATGAGGCGTTGTATGACTGCCCATGCAGATCGTCGATATGTTGGGAAGAAGTAGGTGATAGAAAACTGGTCGGCCCAGATCTCGTAGAGGAGACTACAACCAAAATAGCTAAGATAAGGAAGAACATTCAGACAGCTCAGAGCAGACAGAAGAGTTATGCGGACACTCGCAGGAGGGACTTGGAATTTGAGAAAGGCAATCGGGTATTCCTTAAAGTCACTCATTTCAAGAGAATTGGTAGATTCGGCAAGAGGGAAAAACTAAATCCCCGATTTATTGGATCGTTTGAAATTTTAGACAGAATTGGTATCACCACCTACAGACTGGCACTGCATCCAAAACTTTACAGGGTCCATAATGTATTTCATGTGTCCATGCTACGCAAGTACAATTAGACTCCTCTCACGTCTTGGCCCACGAGTCTCTTTCACTGCAGGAGGATCTGTCCTACGAAGAAGTACCGGTCGGCATTGTGGACCGAAAGAGCAGATTATTCCGCAACCGAAAAATTCCATTTGTTAAGGTCATATGGCAGAATCAAACACCGAGAGAGGTCACATGGGAGGTAAAATTAGACTTCAGAGTCAAATATCCCCAGTTGTTTGATTGAGAGTGAGAGAGACAAATGACCAAATTTCTTTTAAGGGAGGGGAGTTGTAACACTCTAAATTAATTTTTTTGCAATTTAGGATTTAATTATAAATATAATTTTTTAATTTTAATTTAGAGTAAAAATGAAGTAAAATTGATGGAGAATTAAATTAAAAATAATTTTGGGAAAAAAGTGTGAAAATTTGGGTTTTAAGAGTATTTTTGAAAGAAAAATTGAAAATCGAGGGTCAAAATGTAATTTGGAGAAGTTTCATCACGTAGGATAGTCGGTCAGTAGCCCCGACAAATTAGGACGCTCCGTGTGGCGGAGAACGCTGACGTGGTGCAACGCGGGCGATCCGCGTGCCTGTCATCGAACGACTCAGATCCGTTCCCCCGCACACGAACGGTCCAAATGCGTTCCTTCCCGAAACGCGATCGGACAGTCAGATTTGAACGCTATCGGATGACTCAGATTGGATCGCGATGAACGGTCCAAATTCACTCCCTATTTAATCGCCATCGGACGGTGTAGATCAAACGCAATGGACGACCTAGATCAAAAGCGGATGGATATAAATAACCCCCATCCACACCAAATTCTAACCCTAGCCGCCAGACCCTCTTGCTGGAGAAGAAGACTCAGCTGCCGGGAAGGAGACCGCCGCCACGCGCCGAAATCCTTTCCGACCGCCAAAAGAGGTGAAAATTTTTCCATTGCTCAAAATTTAATTTTAAACACACCCATGCCCAAATCGGAGTAAAAGAACTTGTCAATTGGTCGAAAAACGTGGGCAAAGTTTAGCAGTGTCGTCGCGGGAAATTTCACAAAACGCCTCCGATGAGGCCTTCTCCAATTTCTGTTCTGCATAATTTTTTCACCGTTGTGATCACTGTTTCCTTCTCTACAAGTTGACCGGAGCAAAACACCTAACTGCAACGTGAGCCGGAGGAGCCGCTGCACCGGAGAGTCCCGCCGCCGGTGAGTTTCGATTTTTTGGACCAACTAAAGCCCCTTAACAAGTTTTTTCGCAGGGATTGATACGAAAACAGCAGAAAACAGCCGATCCGTGGCAGACCGTCGCCGCTGGAGCACGGCGGAGTCGCCGTGCCAGAATTCTGAAATTGGCCAAAATGGGCCCTGAGACTGATTTAGGGTTTGTTTGGGACATTTGTAGGTACTTATAGTACATTTTGATTTCTGAAAAAATATTTAGGGAACCCGGGGACTGCCAGTGGACGTAGCCAACAGTTTAGCATTTCAAGCATCAAATTGAGTAAGAGTGCGTTAGTTTATTCACGGTTATAGAATTAAAGTTTAACTAACCATAA